GGGCGGCCATTTTCGGGTGCCCGTGCAGTGAAAAATGGCTCCTAAACACAGCGGGGAGCCATTTTGAGCACCTGGCGGCCATTTTGAAAACCCAATATCAGCTGTTTTGATCGTCGGGAAGCAAAAATCGGTTCCCGAAACAGGGAACCGATCATTGCACAGCGAAATTCCCCCATTCAAAACGTCATTTTGCGATCGGTTTTGCGGTCGCAAAAAACTCGTTGTAATGCGGATTTGTCGTTAAACGGAGCGCCTGTCTTGCAAGGCACCACTGTAATTAATTTAACTTATATGACGCCCACTCTACCCAAAGGTCTCTGGGTGGCTTTTATTAAAATAAAATAAAAAAGATAAAACAATTAAAATACAGTTAAAATATATACTCTAAAAATTGCCATCAGGGCCCACAGTTGATATTATTTCAATTAAAAGCCTTCTGGAACAGGAAGGTTTTGACCTGTCATCAGCGTTGGCGCCAGACGAATCTCAATTGGTATCACGTTCTATAGTCTGGGGGCAACTGCCAAAAAGGCCCGTTGTCTACAAGCCATCCCTCTTGCCTCCTTGAGGGACAGCTCTTTCAAAGGGCCCCCCTGGCTAGATCTTAACTACCTGGTTCATATGGAAAGAGGTGGTCCTTCAGGTAACCAGCGCCCAACCCATTTAGGGCTTTATATGTCTACACAATCTTCAGAGGACAGGAGTCAAAACTCTGTTCTCTGTTACATATTGTTCGATAGTTTAGTATTTATAGCTGTGGGATCAGCTTTTGTCATTTTCAAGAAATTGGGTGATTATGGTGATCAGCGTGTTTTTGTTGTGGGGATATTGTTGTGATAAGGGTGAGAGATAATCTGTCACTGTGATTGATGGGTGTCGTTAGCTGGTCTTCTGTGTGCATCTCTCCCGCTTATCACAATGATACACCCTCAACAAAAACAAAAAATGTGCTGATCACCATAATCGCCCAATCTTGTGAAAAGCACAAAAGCTGATCCCACAGGAATAAATACTCAACTATAACAAACTGCAACAGAATACAGACAGAGTTCTGACGCCTGTCCCCTGAAGATGCTGGCGACAGAGACTGGTGAAACGTTAGGAAGAATAAGAACATGGCTAAACAACCCGGAAAACTCATAACAACCATCGGATCCTGGCCATGAAAGTCTTTGAGAATACTTGACGGAAAAGTTAATAAATCCCTTTACTCTGAACATAGGACAAATAAGCAATGTTATGCTTGTGATAAAGAAGGGCATTTTTGTCCCAATGTCAAATTCAGAAGAATATAAATTTCAGTCAGCCAAAAAAAAAGTATTTTGCCTTTAGCAATCGACAGATGAGGCCTCTTACAGCTGCACTGTTGCTAAGGAAATGGAATTGGCAGAGAACCCAGAGCTTCCTGAGGGCAGAGTTATTTAATCAAGTGTTATCAAGATTTATGGAAAGCTCTGGGGAAATGATTTTTGTCTTTGGTAAAAAGCATTTAGGAATTAGAGACTCATGTCCTCAAATAACTACAGTGGTGCCTCGACTTACAAATGTCCCTACTTACAACCATTTCAAGTTAAGACCAGCTCCGGCTGCAAAATTTTGCTTCTACTTGCGACCAGAGCTTCTACTTACGAACAGAAAAAGGCAGGGAAAAAAGGCAGGAAATTCAAATTTCTAACTAGGTGGTGATGAGACGGCTTCTTTATAGTTCTTTGGCCCCAGCAGTTAGAGAGTGTGCGATTGGAGAAGGCTGCCTGGTAAGGTGCTGCTTTCAGCTTTTTAAAAACTGTTCTGGTTTTGGGCTGGGGGGTTATGTTTCTGTGCTGTGATGGGTTTTGGGGGGTTGTTGGTTTTTTGGTTCCCCCCCATTTCTGATGGGTCTTGGGGGGGTTGGTTGCTTTTTTGGATTTGTTCCCCATTTTCGATGGGTCTTGCATGCTTCCCTTGCTTTTTCCTTTGTTCTCTGTGCATTTTGGACCTGGTCCCTTTGTTTTCTGTGCAGTTCGGAACTGCATCCTTTGTTCTCTAGGTATTTCCAAACTCCCTGTGCATTTCCGATGGGTCTTGTATGCTTGATTGCTTTACTTCCCCCCCCCCTTTCGACCAGAAGGGAATTAATCACGTTTCAAATGAGTCTTGCAGTGATTTTTTTTGTGTGATTGTTTTCTACGGCCGGAATGGATTGATTGCATTTCAGTGCAATTCAATGGGAAATGGTGCTTCGACTTATGACCATTTTGACTTACGCCCATCTTCCTGAACCAATTAAGTTCGTAAGTTGAGGCACTACTGTATTTGTCACCCAGACATAATTCCTAAAGAAAACATGTTGGAACAGGAAGTCACCCTCAAAGGCATAAGTTCGGACTCTGTAGTATTGCCAATGGCTAACACTGAGTTACCATGGGTGGTTTGGTATATGGAAAGTAGCTGTGTCAGATGAAATCCCAGCTCCTTGTCTGATTGGTTTGGATTTCTCAAAGTATGTGCAAAGTGTTTGCATGGTAACCCACTCTCAGGGGAGGCAGATTGTAGCTGCTGAGGAAAACATGGGACTCCCAGCCACTGAAACTCGTTGAAAGATCTGGTTTAGGGGAACATCTTGAACCAAGGGAAACTGCTGATTTGATGCTGATGAAAAATCCTAATAGTTCCTCTTTTATTAAGGAACAGAAAGAAGATAGCACCATAAATGACTGCTTTGAAAAAGTTAAGGAAAATCCTATTCCACTGTTTCCTGAACATCCAGAGGGGTATTGTGTGAACTAAGGCCTATTGTACAGGGATGTTTTAATTGCACCTTATAGGGGTGGAGAAGAGCCCCACAAACAGCCAATTGTCCCTATTAAATACTGAGAAAAGATTCTGGAAAAAGCGCCCCATTAGTTTCTATGGACGGAAAAGAGCAGATACGGATTAAATGGTTTTCAGTGCATTCCTATGGGAAATGCAGATTCGACCTACAAACTTTTCGACTTACAAACTGCCTTCCAATACAGATTAAGCTTGTAAGTCAAGACCCCACTGTAAGGTAACAAGAACATTAACTGAATGTGAACAATATTGTATCCAAAAAGATAAAAATAAAAAGAGAGGAATGTCACGACCCAGGTTCCCCTAGAGAATACCTGGTCGGCGGACAGAGAGTAATTAGGAGTTTTCACACCCTTGAAGTGCTGAGTGAGTCCAGGAATCTCAGCAAGGCCTGTGAAACACCCTCTTACAAGTCTGCCCTAATAAGAACATCACTGTACCTTAGGATATTTCAGGTAGATAACCATGTGAGTTTTGTAGTCCTTAGACATACTATGCTCCACAGGTCAGGACTCATTAAGTAAAGTGGCCAAGGCTATACCCTCAGATGACCTAGGACAGTTTACTGTTCAAGAGACCAATTGATATTTATAATCATTGTTTTATTAAAGAAAATAAAAAGTTCCATAAAGAAAAAGTCAGTTTATGCATAAGCATGCAAAAGATCATTTTGCTGGTTAATTACAACACAGTAGTGAAGTAAAGAATCCATGAAAAATATAAAAACACTAAAAATAGCAAAAGTCCCAAAAATCCATGAAAAGAAGTAAAAGCTGTTCAGGAAGGCAAAAAGGCAGGTGCCTCTCTTCTAATCCAAAA